TCCCACCATGCATTTCGGTGGAACACGGTGGAACACTTTTTTTGTGTGGAGAACTCTATCTTGTAATTCTAGTATCTTTGATTATGGGAGAGCCCGCGTTATTCGAGAAAAAAGTTTAGTGTCGCCATTTTCTGTGTCTCGATGTTGAAAGAAAATGAAGAGTTTAATTGATTTTTTTCGTTTTTTATTGGAATGTGTTTGAAGGTATGTACAATAACATAGTATTCTTCTGAATATTCACGTTAAATTATTTTACTCTGATTTAGGGCAACATTCTGTGTAGAAAGGGACCTGGCCTAGGCCTAGGCCCAGCTAGCTATGCCAGACTGTTGTTGTAGCCTAGCCTACCTAGTAGTACCGTAGTATAGTAGTAGTGGCCTGTGCGGAGAATTGCCAATATATCCGCCGCGCAAAAATGTGGCATAGGGCCTAGGCCTAGAAGAAATCCGTCGGCGCATTTCGAAAAATGAGTTCCGCGCAGATTTTGCCAAAAATTAGGCTTTTGACCAAACCTAGGCCCTATCTATAGCCTAGGCCTAATAATATAATTAATATAGCCTAGTATATAGGAGTAGGCTTGGCCTAAGTTCCCAACCAATGAGCCTAAAAGTAAAACGGATTATGACCGGTTGAGCCGCCGACAAGTTGAGCCGCCGGTCATTTCTATGGAACGCCAAGCGCGTCTCTCAGTGAATGTAGTGCGTTAATTGCGGCCTATTTCAATTAACTTATTCGTTCTTGGTACTGTACTGTTGTTTGGGATGTATTTCAGTTTATTTACTCAATTTATTTAATACTCGGTTTTTGCACTGATTTATTAAATATTTTTGGGATGTATTTCAATTTATTCACTTGTTCTTTCTATCGTTTTAATTTAAATTTTGTGAGTATTTGCTCAGTCAGCTTGCCAGATAGTAAAAAAAAAACTCTATACATACTTATCATTTATTATATATAAGTTTAACAAATAGTACAAAAATAAAAAGTATATAAATTACAAAACCATAGTAAATACTGTATACAGGTATTAACATAGGCCTAACACATTTAAATTTATTGTTTATAGTCATCTGTCTAATTCAGTCGGCTTGCCAGATAGTAAAAAAAAAAAAAACTCCATACATTCTTATCATTTATTATAATGGTATATAATAAATATAATTTAA